CGGGCGCGGCGGCGGGGACCGGCCGGGCCCCCTGGCGTCGGGACGTGAGGCTCCGCAGGCCCCTTTAGCTTCTCCGCGCCTCTTCCTGGACCGCAGCCCCGCACGCCTGCGCCAGCCCCTGTGTCCCCGCTCCAGGCTGTGACCCGGACACGGAACAGAGAAGTCGTTGTGGCCGGAGCTCGGGAGAAGCCTGCAGCCTGCTGCTCAACCGGGGCCACCGGGGCCACCGGGGCCTCGAGTCCTTTGTTGCAAGAAGCGGTGGGCTTCAAGAAGCTGCGTGTCATCCTTATCGCCACTATTTCTGCAACATCTGCAGGCATCAAGAAGGGGAAAAACTGAAAAGGAAGCCCAGGCCCTGGTCCTTTCTAGTCCAGTTAGAGGGCCCCCTCTGTGGCTTCATCACTTGCGGGGGTGTCTTCCTGTTCCAGCCCGTGCAGGTGGAGAAGCCGGGGCACCTTCCCATGGGGCAGCGCGCCTTCCACGTAGGAGGCCATAGGAGGCCCTGTTCTTGGGGCGGGAGCTGTGGCCCCTCTGCAGGTGGCCAGGCCTCTGTGAGTCGCCTGCACGCTGGCCCTGCTGGCCTGGCACGCCATAGGGGTGGCTGCTCTGGAGAGCACTTGGCAGCTAGGAGGAGGGCTTCGGGAATGGAGGCAGAGGAAGTATTTTTCTATGTGTCCATCCCCAGGAGCCTGGTTCCCGTCATGCTCTTTCCACTGTATCCATCCCCAGAGCTTGTGGGGCGGCTGCGTCTGCTCTCTCCCCAGAGAAGGCCACAGCTGTGAAGCCTCTAGTTGAGAACTCAGCCCCGGGGAGTGAGCAGCGGAGCGCCCCTTGGCGATCACAGGCTGCTGTCAGTGTGGGTGCTGCTGGCAGGTCTGGGAAGCCAGAGGGATCCGGTGGATTTCAGGGCTCTCCTGTGTGCCAGACCTGGATGGGCAGTGTTATCTCATGTTCTCAGGCCACCGAGTGAGGCTTGAGGCTTGCCCGATGCTTTTTCAATTGAGGAATGTGAGATTGGGCACCCGGGTCTGTCTGAGTCCAGAACTCTTGCATCCCCTAAGCCTATCAGGGCTGGTCCAGACCAGGGCTTACCTCTTCTGCCCCTTCTGTCCTTAGTAACCAATCAGGACTGTGCCGTGCAGGCAGGTGTCTGTCCTCCCAGCATCCACGCAGGGCCCGGCACACAATCGCCACTCCACAGTGTCTATTGGAGAAGTGGCTTCCGGGGACTCTCCAGGGCTGTGGGCCTGCCCCAGCCCTTGCCCTGTGCTCTGGCCCCACGACCTCAGACCCACCCAGGACCTGACATCTGGTACTGGCCTCCTAGGTCCTCCAGTTGTACCACTTTCAACTCACTATAGCTGTTTGGGGATGGCGTGCACAGGATAGATGCTACTGGACAACCAAATTCGGTTCTATCAGGAAGCAAAATTAACAGAGCATAAAGCAGGTTAGGAGGGGAAGATTGATGAGCAAGGTCCCTGGAAAATAAATGGGGGAGTTTTCTTTGCCAGATTACTTTTAGTCATCACACTCGCTTGTTGTTAAAGATGCAGCTGCCCCATTGGTCTCTGCTGCCCAGGGCTGAAGAGTTGGGTTACCGGGGGCTTGCATGGCATGGGGGGCCTCGCAGGGTGGGGGAAGTGGGGCAGGGGTTCTGCGACTTGGCTCAGGGAGCCCTGGTTGGTGGGTGGATCTTTGGCTGGCTCTGGGGAGATGGCAGCTTTGGGCCCGGGCAGTAGAGCACGGCTGCTGCCCCTGGCAGGCACCCTTCCCAGAAGGACTCGTCTCGCAGACCCTGAGCAGCACAGGCCCTGGACAGACTGGGCCAGCAGGGAGGTTCTGACCAGGGGTGGCCCTGCGGGGTCTCTTTGGCACCTTATTCCTCCCATGGTGGGGCCAAGGGTGGCATTGGGAACTGGCTGCACGTGGAAACTATAGGGCACGTGACATAGTCCCCTACTATGTCAGGGGACTTCACAGGTTAGCATGGAATGCATTCATTCCTCAACATGTTTATCAAGGGTCTTGATAGACGGTCTGTTCAGTCTGTTTTGGAACTGGCAGAACAGAGAGTAAAACAGTCTCTGCTCCTTCAGACGAGTCAGTGCACTCCCCGCGCCACCCCAGGGGTGAGCGCTCTGACAGGGCGCCCTGACTGTGGCCAGGGCTCGGGAGAGGCTGCCCAGAGCATTGTCTTCAGGAGGTCAGCAGTCACAGCGTGTGGGGAACAGCATTCTAGGAGGTGGGGACAGCAGAGACAAAGGCCCAGTGGCATGAAGCCTGATGGAGTATCCATGGTTACTGCAGAGGACGCCAGCAGAGACACTCCAGAGGAGGAGGGAGAGGAAGGGGAGGGAAAGACAGGCTCAGGTGCCGGCCAGCTGGAGAAACACCTGGACTCTATCCTTGAGACAAAGGGAGCAGCCAGAAGAGAGACCTTCAGCCACAGGACGCCCTGCAGACTGCTGGGGCCCATGCTCCTGCTGGGAGGTGGAGGGGTCCAGATTTCACACCCCTCACTGCTCGGAGGGTGTTGGTAAACAGTGCTAGTGACATTGTCCCCCCGGGGAGGAGGGAGGGCCTGGCCTGGTCGCACCACATTAAGCAGCCCTGGGGTTGCTGTCTCAAACTGACCCCCTCCCCATACACACACACACACACACACACACACACACACACCTCTGCCTGTCATCCCTCCAGTAGCCTCTCCTTCCCAGCTTGCCAGGGGAGACTCACCCGGCCTTGCTCCTGCAGGGGGCGCTGCTCTCCAGTTCTCCACTCCAGCTCTACCAGGGCAGTGAGCCAGTGAAAGGGCCCTTTGGCTCTGTGTGGTGTTTTTCCTCTGACCGAAGGCAAAGGGAGGGAGGTGATTTTCCACAAATCCAACCCTAACACCTTGGCAGCCGGTGATGAGATCAGCATTTGGTCACTTGAGGAAACTGAGGCTTCAGTGGGAGGACTAGCATACATATGCCTGGACCAGGGGGACCTTAACAAAGTACCTACTGTGTGTCTAGAACTGGGCTCAAATTGATGATCCTCTGTCTCAGTCTCCCAGAGTGCTGGGATGATAAGCATGTGCTAGCCATACCTGGCTCAAATTTCTTTGTGGGCGATAAAATGTTCTGAAATTAGATTATATTGATGGTTATACAACTGTGAATATACTGGAAAAAAAAACCCTATCCCATTAATTGTACACTTTAAATGGGTTGATTTTTGTGACATACAAGTGACATTACAAGGAAACTTTTTTAAAGGACTTTCCTCACCAGGCATGGTGGCACATACCTGTAATCCCATCACTTGGGAGGCTGAGGTGGGAGGTTGGTTGCGAGTTTGAGACCAGCCTGGGCTACAAAATGAGCTCAAGGCCAGCTTGAACTGCATAGCAAGACCCTGTCTCCAAAAAGACAATACATACATACATACATACGTACATAAAGCACCTTCCTGTTGTCTGGGAAAAGCAGAAGCAGGAGGGAAGCCAGAGGCTGGTGCGGTCTCCAGTGAGAGTTGACGGGCCGGGCTGGGGTGGTGTGGACGGTCTGAGAGGCTGGAAGAGCAGAGAGTGTGCGGGAGTCAGAGCTGAGACTTGCTGATGGCCCAAGGTGGGCAGTGAGGAGAGACAGAATCCACTTGGGCTTGAGCTCAGCTGGCTGGTGGTGCCATCCCAAGGGGAGGGAGCCTAGAGGGGCCGGGGCAGGGGAGAAGCCCTCGTGCAGTCAGCCTGGTTGACCCTCCCTGGTAGCGACGCTGAGGAGGAGGTGTTAAGAACATCTGTGTGCTGTGAGCTGCAGGGAAGGGTGGGGGAGGGCTGGGCCAGCCTGCAAATGACACTGAAAGCCGCAAGTTCCATGAGCTCATCAAAGGAGGCAGACGAGAGTAGCCTTTGGCCTGTGCGGGCACAGAGGCCTCTGGGCTTTGCAGCGTTGAGTGGTTTCGCTGGATTCAGGGCACTGAGGGGGGCACTGATTAGGCAGAAAGTAGGTTGGTTTTAAGGGTCCCAGCAGGCCCAGGTTGGCTCTTGCACTGTTCCCGCAGAGAGAGGTTTGTTTCTTCAGGTCAGGAAAGGCTGCTGGGTCCCTGCCTGAGCCTCCCTGGTTTGGGAGACATTTTTAATTGTTCCTGGATGCAGACATTATGTGAAGTGAAGTCAGTCAGGCACCGAGAGACCAATACTGCAGACTCTCATTTATCTGTGGAAGCTGAAACGTTGATCTCATAGAAGTTGAGAGTAGTGGTTATCAGCCTGGGATGGTGTGGGAGAAGGTGGGCTGGAGGGAGGATGGTTAGTGGGTGCAGAGGTGCTTGTGGACGGCAGGAATAGCTCCCCCCATTGTAGAGCACAGCAGGCCCTCTGCTTGGCAGCAATGAATTATTTCAAAACGGCTAATGGAGAGGATTTTGGATGTTCCCAACACAGCAAAATGATAACTGTCTGAGGTGATAGATATGCCCATTATGTGATCTGATCATTATACATTATATACATGTATCAAAGTGCCACATTGTACCTCATAAATATGTATAATCATAATGTGTCAAACAAAAGTTTAAAAATATATTTAAAAAAAATTCCACCAAATTTCCTCTGTCTCAGTTTGGAAGATACCATTTATAACAATGCGTCTGGTATATAACAAGGGCGTGGAAGCTTTTGCGTGGTCCTGAGAAAACCCTCCTCTAGCCGTCTCTGGTTAAAACTCGGGAAGGCACAACCGAGATCAGGGTTCATGAGGTGAAGCAGCTCAGCTGCAGTAGAGGCATCGTTCATCCCTGACTAGCTCATCCCACTTTGGACTTTGCTGCCTTAAGACCGAGTGTCCCAGGGGCTGGGGATTTAGCTCAGCGGCAAAAGTGCCTGCCTGGCATGCGCAAGGTCGTGAGTTTGGTTCCTGGTACCGGAGAAAAAACAAAAAACAAAACAAAACAAGACCGAGTGTCCCACATCCCAGTAGCCTGTCAGCACTGAGCGGAGCTGGGCGGCTGTCACCCTTCTTGTCTTGGCCCTGGACACAGCCCCAAAGGCACACGCATGCCGAGCAGAATCTGGGACAGCGAATCTAACACCATCTGCTCAGGCCACGCTCTCACACTCGGGAGGCCCTCAAATGTC